TAGATAGATGTAGATAGATAGATGTAAATAGACAGGTAGATAGATGTAGATAGATAGATGTAAATAGACAGATAGATAGATGTAGATAGATAGAAGGGAATTTAAATATAGATCTATTTTTACGTAATATTTTGTTGATCAAAGATAATATATATCTCTTTGATTAACTCCTAAAGGGGATTTGAATGATGTTCATTAAACCTTAAATACTATAAACTGTTAATAAAGTTAGAAATGAGATTTCCACTGTAGTCAGCTATGACCAATAGTCTAACAGAATAGGACATTAAAAAAAAAAATCAGGGTTAATGGCCAATTTCTGTTTTTATGGAAAACTCGCTTTTACCCACTCATTAGCAATCTGCATTATGCAGATGGCACAACCTTGCTTGCTGAAAGTGAAGAGGACTTGAAGCACTTACTGATGAGGATCAAAGACCACAGCCTTCAAGACGGATTACACCTCAAAATAAATAAAACAAAAATCCTCACGACTGGATCAATAAGCAACATCATGATAAACGGAGAAAAAATTGAAGTTGTCAAGGATTTCATTTTACTTGGATCCACAATCAGCACCCATGGAAGCAGCAGTCAGGAAATCAAAAGACACATTGTGCTGGGCAGATCTGCTGCAAAAGACCTCTTTAAAGTGTTGAAAAGCAAAGATGTCAGCTTGAAGACTAAGGTGTGCCTGACCCAAGCCATGGTGTTTTCAATCGCCTCATAGGCATGGGAAAGCTGGTCAGTGAATAAGGAAGACTGAAGAAGAATTGATGCCTTTCCATTGTGGTGTTGGTGAAGAATATTGAATATACCACGGACTGCCAGAAGAACAAACAAATCTGTCTTGGAAGAAGTACAACCAGAGTGTTCCTTAGAAGCAAGGATGGTGAGACTATGTCTTACATACTTTGGACATGTTGTTAGGAGGGATCAGTCCCTGGAGAAGGACATCATGCTTGGAAAAGTAGAGGGTCAGTGAAAAAAAGGAAGATCCCCAATGAGATGGACTGACACAGTGGCTGCAACAATGGGCTTAAGCATGACAATGATTGTGAGGATGGCGCAGGAGCAGGCAGTGTTTCATTCTGTGATGCACAGGGTCACTGGGAGTCAGAACCAACGCAATGGCACGTAACAACAGCAACAGTCCACTCAATGGCGTGTCTTGGTCCCACCCCACTCCATAGAAATTGGTTTTTGGCTGCATATAAAGTATTAGACTGAAGTGAATGTGTGAACAGCTTCAGGTTTCTAAGCCAACAGATGATTAGTACAGTTGAAATCTGTCCTGATAGGTGAGATTGCTTTGGGGAACAATGATAAAGTGAAGATTTTGGGACTTTCCAGAGACACTTAATAGAGTTGAGAAGTATTATACCCTCATGGTCTATAAATTTTACATCCGTAATAACAATTATACATTTTTCTATTGAAAAGGCACAATAGTAATTGATCGGTGGAGCTATTTTAAAGTTCTTTAGCAATAATCCTCTTAATGTCTTGTCTCAAGCTTGGTATATGCTTGTTCTATTCTCTAACTGAACCAGCAGTATAGACTCTTTTTCCTTTTCTCATTGGCATTCACCCCCTTGGAATTTGAGTTTCATCTCTCATCATGTATGCCCTCTGTTATTAAGGAGCCCTGGTGGCATAGCGGTTAAGCACTCAGCTGCTGACTGAAAGGCCTGCAGTTGGAACCCACCAGCCACTCAGCAGGAGAAAGATGTGGCAGTCTGCTTCTGTAAAGATTTACAGCCTTGGAAACCCTGTGGGGCAGTGCTACTCTGTCCTCTAGGGTTTCTAGGAGGCGGAATCGACTCCATTGCAGTGGGTTGTGTATACATTTTTAGGTGATGTATACAGGATGAGCATGCAAAGCAGAATGATTGACGCTTTCGCTGAAATTTCTATCTCTTCAGTGCTTCTTTGGATTTCATTGATTGAGAAACCACTTCTCAGGCAAATAGCTCTTTGGATTGAGTTAGACTCTCAAATATCTCTTATAGATTAGTTCATGAAAAAATCAATTTTGGTTAATAACAGTTGAGTTTAACCTATTGACAGCTGAATGGCAGGCCCCTCACGGATTAAGAGAAGAGACGTAAGGGTTCAGGGTATAAAAGGCGGAGGTAGGTCCATGGGGAAATGGTTGAGGTTTTAGGTCCTCATCTCTGAGGGCTGGCTCGGGCCAGGGGGTGTAGCAAGGAGCCCAGGATGGCAGAGGGAAGGGAACGGGGACAGAGGGAGAAAGAAGACATCAAGTGCAGAAACATGGGGAACGGTGGACCCCCGTGACCAACTTTCATCCCGGTGCAGCCCTGACTGTATCCCAGAAATAACCTCACTTCCTCAAACGTCTTCCTTCTTCCACGTGGAGTAGGACATCAGTAAGGACGACGGAACCCAGAGGTGTGAGCAGAAGGCCGCGTCAGGTACAACGGCCTGAGTTTAATGCTCCCACTCCTTCTGCCCTACAGGTGTCCTGAACCAGATGGTGAGCTCGGGGGTCTCCCTGCTGCAGCCTTCCTTCCAGGGCTGCATGCAGCTCATCCAGGTGGACGACCAGCTGGTGAACCTGTACGAAGTGGCTCAGAGGAAGCCCGGCAGCTTCGCCAATGTCAGCATAGACATGTGCGCCATAATAGACAGGTAAGCGGCCTGCCTGCCAGGACACACTGCCCGCGCCTTCTGAGTGCACGCCTGTGTCGTGGGCCAGGGACGTGCCAGACAGATGCATTCCGGAAGGGAGGGATGGCGGAGGCCGCGCGCTGTCTCTTCTGGTGTGTGCAGGATGCCAGCCTGCCATGTGTATCAGGATGGGCGGACACCATAGGACAGTTCTTGGTGCCACCTCTGCCCATCAACCCCCTCGGCGAGTGTGTGCAGGGAGATTTGCCAGCAACAGCTGAGAGGGACTGTCAGCTCTTTTAGTGTTTCCCTCTCTGCCTGCAAGCACAAGTGGCCCTTCTCTCCCTGTCTCAGTTGAGAGTCAGACTCAGCACGTTGTTCCCCCCGAAGCCCCCTCCTACAGGAAAAGAAACATAACAAATGTCGGCGGGCATATGGGAATACACAGAAGAAGAAGCTATTTAGAGTCAGTCAGTCTGCTTGTAAAGCACACATTTTGAAATAATGCCAAATATAGTGTTTATTAGTTTTTGCAAATCTAGGGAGGAGCTTTTTAATAAAATCTTTAGTGGCTCATGTCTCATGCAGTGGAAAGAGACAACTCTCATATGAAATACTATGATAGCATCACATATACTATGTTACCACACTTTTATTCCAAAATGAAAACATTTCGTTCTAAGAAGTTTTGCGCCTAAACCAGCTAAGTCTAACCGTGAGTTACAGTTAACCTAGTGGATTTGGAGCATTTTCTAAGCTATTTTAAAATCCTTTGTGGGAGGTCTATCTCATTCTGAAAATAATACTATTAATTTTGTATTTTGGAAGATGAAAGCTCTTTAAAATCTTTTTAAATTTTGAAATAAGATTTCGCTCCTATCTCCATCTGCCACCAACGGAGCACAGACCTGACGTCTATAGCAGTCGTATTTCATGAAGAGACACTCCTTGGGGAAGTAGCTCCAAGGCATATGAAAAATCTTACTAATGAGTAAAATGATCTATGATGAAGGAAGATGACTTCCATATAATCATAATAAAATGGTCAATTACAGTTCATGGTGCTTATAGAATATAACTTTAAAAAAAAAAAGTACGTTTATAATGTGGTGTGCTGATTGGCACAAACTGTGTGGGGTCAACTTCTAACTGAAAGATTGGCAGTTCAAACCCACCCAGAGGTGCCATGAAAGAGAGCCCTGGTGATCCACTTCTGAAAAATCAGCTGCTGAAATCCCTATGATCACATCTCTATTCTGACACACATGGGGTCAGCATGAGTCAGAATCGACCGATGGCATGGGCTTTTTATGTTTCTCATAAGACTTGACAACATAGCATTTATTTTTGCTTCATGTATGCAAATATGATAGCCTAGGCAGTTTATAGTGAAGCAGAAGAGTGAACAATTTTAATAAAAATATATTCTTAATTTTTGATTCATTGGTAATTAACTATTATTAGTATTAGCTAACAGTATTATCTAATAATAGCTAATAGTATTATAATACTAATACTAATTATTGTATTATAACATAATACTAACATTAATATAATATTAATACTATAATAGCTGATAGTATCAGCCATTATTTCTGCCTAACCAAGTGATAGCAAGAACCAGGAAGGCTGAGACATAAATGTTTTAAGACCATTTGTTCTGATACTAGATGTTTATCTACAGGTTTTAACAACCGTTTTCTATACAGGGGGCGTGTCCTTCTTGGTAACAGTTACGCGTTGTGGGGAAACATGTTACAGCTCGTCCATTTTCCATGTCAGTAGCTGTAATGACACAGTCATTTCTCTCAACAATACCCAAGTGAATTCATCCAGCGGGTATAAACAGGCGCGGTCTTACGGTGCTGCTGCTGTGTCACTCCCAGCACGGCGTTTCCTGGGCATAGACTCCATTTGTTTGCGGCTGAAGGAGTCGGCGTGACATGCTGCGATTTTAAGGTTTTCCTCTGATGGAGACGGTAGGAGTGGAATTGGTGTCGAGAGAATGAATGAGGTTTCAGCGAGGGAGGAGAATGGCAGACAGTTGTCCTGGTGAGAAGAACTGGAGGAAAGATGTAGAACAGGGAACGCAAATCTCAGCTTCTGGCAGACCCAGGAATACATGGGGGCCAGTCCCACTGGCGGCACTGCCAGTGCCCACAGTGGACGGACAGGGCTGTCACCTTCCTTGTCTCCCTGGACACTAACGGGAAGCGTGGCTGAGGAAGGCAGCCGTCTCTGACACATGTCCGCCTGTTTCCCAAACCCACCGTGGACTCTAGTGTCTGCCCGCACCGTTTTCTGAAGCCAAGACATTTGTGCAAGAATAACCAGTATGTGAAATACCAGATTCCTTTATTCACCCAAAACTTTCCTGGTTGGACGCCTTACGCTGAGAGGTGTTGTGTTTTTGTCTGTTTGACACAGGACTGCATTCATTCACCGCCTCTGAATGGTTCAGGAGATGGTTGGTGGTGCCGCCCTTAGTCTGCCTCTGGGGAGCGTGCCCGTGGCCCCTGCCTGTCCTCCTGTGACTCTGGCCCCTTCAGACAATCCTGTACGCATCCCTCACGCAGTGCTGGTTTGCTTTCCCACCAAAGGGGGCTTTGCCGTTGCTCAGCCCCCAGCCCGCCATCACCAAGTTACCCAGACTCCCCAGAATGGGACTGCCCTGGCTCTGTCTTACTTTCCCCTTGCAAGCTCCAGCTTGATTGCTTTGAGAGCTACTTTTGGAAAAGAAGAAGAAAGAATACACGAGAACGCACGGTTAGGAAATGGAAGAGCTGCCACTGGCCTGGTCTCCATACGACGTTCGCAGATCGTGGGGGCAGGTGTGGTGGTCCGTGAGTAGGACTTAGGGAGACCGTTGGGGGAGGTTCTCAGGGAGTTTTTCCAGGTCTCCTGGGACACCCCGTGATGAGAACCTATTTCTCTTTCTTTGCGTGTGATGGCATTGCCTCTACACCACTCACCCCAGAACTGTGAGTGGTCATGCAGTCCACTGTGCACGTTTTCAGGGGCCTCTTTTTCCGCTTCTCACAGGAAGGAGCAGCCACAGACCAGGGCTGGTTAATGTGGTAAAGCCAGAGTCAGCCGTGGGGTCAGCCATGGGGTCAGCCGTGGGGTCAGCCGTGGGGTCAGCCGTGGGGTCAGCTGTGGGGTCAGCTGTGGGGTCCCCAGGGAGCTTTGGTTTTCATGTCCCCTCGCCCCTGTTGACACACATGTGCATCCTGGGGCTCAGCGGCCAAGAAATCCTCAGGTCCAGTGACCCAGCACCACCCTCCTCCTCTGGACGGAGAACAGTCAGTTGTGGCCAACTGAGGTCTCTGTGCCCCGTTTCATTTTTCAGGAGCTGAAAGCCTCTGTCCTTTCTGCATCCTCTATAGCTAAATGCAGCCCACGCGCCCCAGGATGATCCCCGAGTGTGCGAACCACTTCCAGAGAAACGATGACGGGCCCACGTTAGCACCTGTGTAGTAGCCTGCCAGTGAGAGAAAGATTTTGGTTACAATGCCCCCAGAGATTGGAAGCTGGGGACAAAGTAAATAGCTCTTTAGAGGCCTGGGCAAATCCATATCGTTAGAGTTACACCTGACTTTTAACAGGGCTCTAAAAACTAATAAAGTAGCTCATTAGAGCTAGAATCTTTTCTGCCCTTTCCTGCCCACGTTCCTTATAAATCTATTAAGGAACAGAACCAGCAAACATTCTAGAAAACACAGAGTAGAAAGGGATGAGTAAGTTCCCAGTTTAAGCACAGCCGGGAAAATTACCCCTTGAGAAACTGTGAATAGACTGGTCCTATTTCCGAGTTAGTAATTAAGTCTTCACTGTGTGTTGGCATGGAAGTGCATAGCCACCATGGAGCCAGGATTTATTTTTTTAATCAGCACTTTCTTTTCAAGAGCATCTCCCCCGTTTTTCTTGGATTTTCTTTTCTAGAAAGGGAAGGAGTGTATGAGTTTTTATAAGCGCATTCACGCGGGGGCTGGGTGGGTACAGCGTGAAGTGTCGCAGAGAGAGGCTGGCTCTGTGGGAAGAACAGCAATAAAGAGAAGGATGGAGGTGGCCCAGAAGGAAGCCAGCATCTCTGTAAAATCGGGTTTAAACTTTCCCGTCCTAACTGAGGTGAGGCGTTTGAATGGTGCTAATGCACTCAGCTGCTAACTGAAAGGGTGGCAGTTCAAGTCTACCCAGAGGTGCCTTGGAAGCAAGTCCTGGAGATCTGTTTCTAATAAAACCAGCCATTGAAAACCTTGTGGAGCACAGTTCTGCTCTGACACCCGTGGGGTCACCATGAGTCAGAGTGGACTCCATAGCACCTGGTTTAACTCAGAGGAAGGAAACACACAGCCTTCTTTACTTTCCACCTGATCTTCATTTGCTCATAAGCTCCTAGTCTGTCTCTGTCTTGTTTCAGACAATCTGGCCAGAGCTGAATGCGCAGGTCTATCCATTTCTTTGTTCTTGGCCAGAGGAGTGCTCTCCTGGCCCCACTCCCTGCGACGGACGTCCTTGATCCTGGGGGCGGGCAGCCTCGTACAGAGACCATCTGATGAGAATGAATGAATGGCAGTTTTGACTTAGAATGTCTCACAAGTGTTTCCACTCTAGGAAGGGGGGCCTGGCTCAGAGACATAAGGGTTTCTCGGTGACAATACTCATGCAGCTTGTCTTCCTTCCTCACCTGGATGCTGCTGACTGGGAGCATCCGCTTCTGGGCCTGATGCCCCCTTTCCCCACATTTCCAAGCTGACCTCCATCCGCTCTTTCTGTAGAGATGTCGATGTCATCAGTTAGACTGTGTCAATCTGCGCTAGCTTGTACTTCTTTTACCTCGGGAGACATTCTTTTACCTGAGGTGCTAATTTCCTTGCTTTGTACCAGCTCAACCCTGTCCCGCTGTGACTCCAAGAACTGCCGGGCTAGAGCTGATTCTCAGGGACCTGGTGCCGGAGAGCGTTCTCCAGGATTGCAGCTGCGTTTCCTCCTGGGGACACTCTGCAAAGTCACGGAACTAG